GTGTCTACTACTAGCAGTAATGGCCTTTGATAGGTACCAGGCAATCAGCAACCCCTTGCTGTACACAGTGAACATGTCCACCAGACTTTGCTCCCTGCTTGTAGCTGGTGTTTACCTGGTGGGAACAGCAGATGCTTTGATACATACATCCTTGACCTTCCGCTTGTGTTTCTGTGGATCCAATGAGATCAACCATTTCTTCTGTGATGTCCCCCCTCTTCTATTAATATCTTGCTCAGATACAGAGGCCAATGAGTTAGCAATATTCACAATTTTTGGGTTCATTGAACTGAGCACCATTTCAGGAGTTCTTGTTTCTTATTGCTACATCATCTCATCAGTCTTTAAGATCCGCTCTGCTGAGGGGAGGTTCAAAGCTTTTTCCACCTGTGCCTCCCACTTGACTGCAGTTGCTATTTTCCAGGGAACTATGCTTTTTATGTATTTTCGACCAAGTTCTTCCTACTCCTTAGATCAAGACAAAATGACTTCACTGTTTTAAACTCTGGTGATTCCCATGCTGAACCCTCTGATTTATAGCCTGAGAAACAAGGATGTGAAAAAAGCTCTGGAGAAACTGAAGAATAAAATGTGAATGACAATTTCTAATGTAATGTGTACATTGTTGCTTTCAATTCAATCTGCATTGCACATATAAAAGACATTGCTTCATTGAAAATTTACTAAAATACATTACTAATTTCACATCTAATTTTATGAAAGCACTGTTAATATATATGTTATTTTTCTCAAATATTATATTCTATTCTCTCTCAGTGGAAATTTTCCCAACAATTTCAATTGTGATGAAGTTTTATGTCACCATCCTTTCACTCAATGTCAATTTGAATTTGGAGTGGTGGATATTTACTCATTGATTTTGATAGATTTAAATATTTTTCAAGGAAATTAAATAGATTAATCAGTGGCGAGTATTATATATAGATGAATTATGAACAATTACGGAACACTCATAATTCACATAGTTTTTGTTAACATTCTATGTTCCTGGGACCTGGGAGAGTGGAACCACCAAATGAGTTGGATTAAAGTCTCATTCAACAGTCAACTTTATTCAGAGCATCAGATAATTTATACTGTGATTATTTAAAAATGACAGGAGTAAAGTTTTCATAAGTTCAAGCTGGATACATTCATAAGGCTAACTATATGTGGCAAAAACATGTTTTTCCATAGAGGTATATAAAAATGGTTTAAACAATTGAAAACCAGCAGCAATCAATAATTAGTAATTTCAAGGAAACTCTGTCCTATCAACCATACGTTTGGAAGAGCATGAAAACATATTTCAATAACAATTCTCTGCTTTGAAGAAACGGAGGTCACAAGACTCTTGTCTTGTTTTCTTGAACTGTTCTCCCAAGCACCTAGATTTCTCCTCATATGACTAATTCCTGAAATATATTCCAACAAAGCTTCATGGAGGTCTTGAACTTGAAGCTGTTAACTGAATTCCAAAGCAGGTTGTCTAATCCAGTTTTAGGATAACATCTTTCCAGAAGGTAGATACTCTGTTTCTGCACAAAAATGATATTCATATTAGGAAAGAAAATGTCTATTCAGTGATTTTACAGTTAGAGTGGTCAGGATGTAGGGAGACCAATATTTGGAAGTTCAAACATGTTGATTAAAACAAGTACCAGATTTTGGCAATGTAAAACTGGGTGAAGAACTGTCAATTCTTCCATTATTTCCTCCATTGTCTTCTAATTTACTATTCCTCTCTCTTCCCTAGTTAACGAACTCTCTTCAGTTGCTTCCTTTGCACATTAATTAGTTTGCACCTATTTCTTAAATTGCTACATACAATGAAAAAGTATAAGCATATGTTTGCTCAAATGTTAAATCATCCTAGTTATGAAAACCTTAGTATCATAGGTGGGAAACACCATGAGAGAGCAAGCAAAAACCAAAAATCCCATGTACTATGAAATTTGAGAATATTCATTAAGTACTCTAAAGACAACCCTGTGTAAGGGTGTGTCTTGTTCTATGTACATGATAGACACTTTATGATTTGAAGAAAGTACATAAAAATGATAGTGTATGCAAACCTAAACTATCTCTAAATAATTAAGTTCATGAGATATAAGCATCTTGCCTGTGAATATGTCCTTGGTTTATATGTTGTATATATTGTTGATCTATGTTTGTCATAGTTGAACTCTGAAAAGCCATTTTGAAACAATATGAATATGAGCCTAAGTTTGGAAACCAGTGAATATTGTTTTTATTGTCTATCACGATTACATGTGCTAATTTTCCTGAGCACATTCAATCTTACAGTTCTAGTATCAAATGATCCTACATGATAATATTACACAATTGAAGAACAGGTGCTCCTCTGCTATAAGTTCCCAGGAGAAATTTCTGAGAGTGCTTCTTCAATTAGATAAACACATATTTGTCCCATAACTTCTCAGTCAAATCATTTTCTTTTACAATACTGAACAACAGTCATAACTGTGATGTTTTTACTCTAATTTACAAATAGTACTAAAACATTGTGTGTGAGTTTCTTCTTATTTTCTTATTTTCAAAAGATAGAAAGGACATGAGTTGGGTGGCTAGGTGAAGAGGATTTGGGAAGATTGGGAGAAGAGAAAATCCATGACTGGAATATATTGTATGTTTTTTTTCATAAAAGGTGATGATAAAAATAATGTTATAATGCAAAGATTTTTGTGAAAGGATAAATTAAAAAAGACAGAGCTCTCTGAGGTTGGATTTTGGACCTTACCACTTAGGACCCAATAGCTCCCTCTCTCCTTCTGCCACTAGAGATAAGCTAAGGTCAGACTGTCTATGATCAAAAAGTATGCTACCAGCACTCTCCACACCTAATCTTGATTTGGAAATGTTTTCCCCAGAGTTATGAGATTCACCAATATGTAACATTTTTGTCATTACAACTAAAAAAGTTACAAAAACAACATGGCTGTAAATGTTGTTTTAATTATGTTAAAATTATGTAAAATGTAGTGGAACTTATTTGCTAATAAATTAAAAGAAGAAAATATGTCAAAATTACCTTTATTCTTCTCAAAGGGTATTTGTGTTTTATTACATTTAAATTGTCATTTCAGATACACATCAATCCTTTTATATTATGCATGGACAATATATTATATTATGGACAAACGAAAAAGAAAACTAAAAGCCATCAGTGTCTCAGAACACAATGATCTGATTCATTACTTTTATTACAATGAGTGACTAGGGTGAAGTTGAAAGTTTGACCCAAGGATTTATTTAAAAGAATTAATGACACAAAATGAAGGTTGAGCAGATTAGTCTTTAGTCTGAAACTTGCACAGAACTATGGACCACAACCTCAGAGGTTTTGTATCCTTGAACGAGACTGTCTAGTGAAGTGTTCATAGCTTCTTTCCCCTCTCATGCTTTCTAAGCACACCCTCCCTTTAAAATGTCAGCTCATGATTGTAAGTAAATACTACACTGAGTTAGACACATCAGTCAGAACTGTCTATTGCTTGGCATGATATATTCAGATCAGAAACTATATAGAGTGCATGTAACACTAACAAACTGAGAAACCATCTAGAAAATGAGTGGGTGGGAAATGTGGTGTTTGATCATTCTGACTCTTACTGGAAATTTGGTTTTTCTAATAAAGAAAGGCAAATACGTCAGCAATCTTTACAACCTACTGTTTTTCATACTCTGCTAGGCAGCACATCAGCAATGTTCTCATTCAGTTCAACGTATTTATGCCTGCGTTGCTACCTAAGTAAAACCAATAAAATATAGAGTACCACTAAAGAAGCAATTCATTAATCAGTATTACTTCCTTATTTCACTTTCATCTACTTGTGTTTTAAAAGAATTGTTCGGCAGTTCAGGGGTTAATGAGTCTGTATTTTCAGCTTTGCTGCTTTGCTGCCGTAGATAATGCAGCTGAAAATCATTTCTTCATTCATGCATTTGGAGGGAATCATTCACCACCCACTTCAGTCATTGCTTTAATAAATAGTTGATGTTTTTGTTTACACATGCCATGTCCAATATAGAATACAGTCAGTCGATGAGCAAAGGATATACACAATCTAATATTGAAACGAAGTATCTCACACAAATGGAGGTATAGTTAACAATGGCTTTGTAAGATTATTGTTATGACCTACCAAAGAGAGCATTTAACCTAGGCAATAAAGTGGGCATGAATAAGACAAAAAAAAATACCAATTACAGTTCATGGAGATCTTTATGTAAGCTCTTTCCTTTGCTCTTAAGCTACTTTGGCTATCTTTAAATATAAAGATGAGATGGACTCGTAACCAACAAGAGTTTTGTAATTTCCAGATGCTCCAACTAGAATTTGTTCTTTTCTTCAGTGAGCTAGTATTTAGATATAAGATAGGTTATCTCAGTAAAGGTTGCTAGTCTCTTGAAAACTACACTTAAATACAACTTCTAGAATTATTCTGCACAGACTTTATTCTATGACAATTTTGAAGCTGATTAAGTTATTTGTTTGCTCAAGTTTATGTCCATGACTTACATTAGATGAAAGCACTTATCATAAACAAAAGATGTTTCACCATTAAAAGTCTCATAATATAGAATGGCACCTAATATAGCATAATGTTTATGATTCATAACCTAGAATCCAATTATGTAGCCTAGCTTCACTTTGACACAGATTTCTCTTGCCACTTGCTGAATTATGCTAGGATTACTGGTAGGTGTCCATAAGTTGGGCTTATGAAAATAATGTTTCAATGAGAGACTTAAGAAAACTGTCAAAAAGAAGAGTAAAAATATAAGTAGCTATATGGATACTATAGTATTCAATTTAATCAAATATTCCAAGACAGACTATCTGGGCTAGTCTAGTATTCTCAGATGAGGGAGACTGAGGCAAGGGATTCACAATTTCCAGGGGGACCTGGAAAACATGTTGACTAGCTAAAACTGCATGGGAATGGAGAAATGTGGTGAAAATTCTGAATAAATATTTAAAACCATCTATTTATTTTAATTTTCTTCAAAGCCTCTTTCACATCCTTGTTCCTTAGACTGTAAATCAGCGGATTCAGCATGGGAATTACAAGGGTGTAAAATAGAGAAGTCATTTTATCTTGATCAAGAGAGTAAGAAGAACTTGGCCGAAAATATGTGAAGAGTAGAGTTCCCTGAAAAATAGCAACTGCAGTCAAGTGCGAAGTGCAAGTGGAGAAAGCTTTGGACCTCCCCTCAGCAGAGCGGATTTTTAGGACTGATGAGATGATATAACAGTAGGAAACAAGGACCCCTGAGATGGTGCTCAGTTCGAGGAAACCATAAATAGTGAATAATACCAACTCATTTACTTGAGTATCGGAGCAGGAGAGGAGGTAAAGTGGAGGTAAATCACAGAAGAAATGGTTGATTTTATTGGATCCACAGAAACACAAGCGGAATGCCAAGGTTGTATGTATCAAAGCATCTGACGTTCCCACCAGGTAAACCCCAGCCACGAGCATGGAACACAGGCCACTGGACATGTTTGCTGTGTAGAGCAAGGGGTTGCTAATGGCCTGGTACCTATCAAAGGCCATCACTGCCAGCAGTACACACTCAGAATCTGCAAAGGTGCAGGAAATGAAAAATTGAATAGCACAGCCCCAGAAGGGAATCGACTTGTTCTTGCCAAATATATCTAGTAGCATCTTGGGACCAATTGCCGTGGAATAGCAGAGATCACAGAAAGACAGGTGGCTCAGGAAAAAGTACATGGGTGTGTGGAGCTGTGGGTCCATCCTGATCAAAATGATCATACCAAGATTTCCCACAAGATTGATAAGATAGATGAGTAGAAATATGGCAAACAGCAGCCCTTTCATCTCAGTGTTATTGGTAACTCCCACAAAAATGAATTCATTCAATGAGCAATTTCCTACATCCATTCTTTCTTCCTGTCTATGATTTGAGCAAATAATTAGAAGAAATTTTGAATACATTTCAACTTCTGGATATCAGCAAAGTATTTATGAGGTATAACATATTTTAGTTATTTCTCATATATTTTATAGTACTAAAATGTCAGTCTTGTTTCTCTTTTGCAACCAATTCTTACCCTATTTGTTAAATCAAAAATGGCACCATCTGTGCTAGACACCTGAAAAACTGAGATGAGCATATGTTCATCACTTTCTGCCCATTTTGTAATGTATATAAGGCAAACATTACTTATTGCAAGAGATTGCTTTAGATATATTGATTCTCATTTTACCTTTGTAATAACTGAAATAAACACAAATGTTAGAGACACAGGCTATACATAAGAGGATATTGTTTCTATTCTTTAATGCCTTAATACACAAATTAGCTTAGTTATTTGATTTCTGAAAGGTCACGTGGATTAAAAAACATATTTGGTTTATAGTCATTGATTTATAACTGTAATAAAAACTAAATATATTTTGTTGTAGTAATGCAAAACACAAACATTTACTAGTAGCAACAAAGACAAATATTCCTTTTTTATTATCTTAAAATGTTTCTAATTGAAATAAATTTACCCTACTTTCCCCCTCCATTTTCTGAGACTAGTCCTAATTCTAATCCCTCAACCCACTCCAGGCCCCCACTTTATAGTTGACAGTAACCTTTTATTATATTTGTTGTGTGTGTGTGCATGCACAAATATACATAAACATATACTCTGCTGACTGTTTTTGTAGATTGTATGTATATAGTCTAAAGGCTAGCCATTTTTCTTGGTTTATATTATGGTACTTTACGATCTGCTGAAACTAAGATAACTTTTATCTGATTATTGTTTTTAGAATTTGTTATGTTTCACAATGGTACTCATTACCCATCATTAGCCGTAGTCTGGTAACAAAGGATTATTTTTCTGGCAAGTTAGGTGGCTAAAAACAAGCAGCATCAAAAAAATAAATCACATTCCTTCAGTTTTACTGCATATATTGTCTTAACAATGAAAAAATAATCAGAATGGAGCACAATATATTTCTAAAATACATCTGCTTTTTTATATGTGTATATTTTTATATGTGTTTTGCATATGTATATGCATCCATGTGTTTAGATGAAAAAAATTCAATGATGGATAGTTTTACATTTTTAGATTATGTAAATAATATTGAAAGTGTTTTATAATGCATTAACATTGCCAACATTTTTGTAACATAATAAGCCAGTGGTTTCTACTTGATATTTATATCACTAAAATCCATATATATGGTCATAAAAATAAGAGACAGTGCATGCTATGTTGCAAAATTAACATAAAATAAAATAGGAAAAATGCTATGTTGCTGATCCTATAAAGTTTTATGAGAATCATGATTCTTTTTTAAAAATTATTTTCATCCATTGGATTTAATAATCTTTTAAATTAAGCAGGCAGTAAAATCACTACTTGTTTCGAACAAGATGAAATGGAAATTGCTTTGTTTTTACCAAGTTTTTGAAAATACATGTATGTAGGAACCCACCTGATAAGAGTAGCTCCTTAGTGCCTGAAAACTGTGACAGTGGTAATTTATTGTGCCAACTGTCATTTGGGACTAAGGTTTATGAAATCATTTCCCACAGGCTTTGGTGTGGCCAATTAATATCTTCTGTATTCCTTTCTGAAAATACAACACCATCTTTAGACTACATATAGCTTGAAGTGTTCACTACTAAAATTATTTATTTTGGTAAGGATACCACAAAGTACATATGTGTATATTCAGGTAAATATACAAATGTATGTATATCTGCATATATGTATACACAGAACACACATACACACATATATATTTCTTAGTGTATATATATGACAAAGTTTTTCTCTTCAATCTCAGGATCCATTACTATCTTCACTTTTGAAAGTACTCTTTTTTTATATAGGTTTTATTTAAATAAGAAACTTATTTTACATATCAATCCCAGTTTCTTCTTCCTCCCATTCTCCCATGCCCCTCACCAACCCCTCCATCCCATCCCCCATCTACTCCCAGGGGATGGTGAGGCCTTCCATGAGGGATCATCAAAATCTGTCAAGTATTTTGGGGCAGGGCCAGGGCTCTCTTCTGTGTATCTAGGTAAGAGAGTATCCCTCCATGTGAAATAGGCTCCTGAAGTTGGTTGTGCACCATACATTATGTTTCCATTGCCAGAGGCCCCATAGACTGCCCAGTGCTCCTAGCTGACACCCACATTCAGGGGGCCTGGTTTGGTCTTATGTTAGTTCCCCAGTTAACAGACTCGGGTCCATGATTCCCACTTGTTCAGGTCATCTGTTTCTGTGGGTTTTTCCAGCATGGTCTTGACCCATTTGTTCATCACGCTTTCTTCTCTGGATTCCAGGAGTTTGGCTCAGTGCTTGGCTGTGTGTGTCTGCTTTTGCTTCCATCAGCTACTGGATGAAGGCTCTAGGATGGCATTTAAGGTAGTCTTCATTCTCATTATAGGGGAAGGGCATTTAAGGTAGCCTCTCCTTATTGCTTCGGGTCCTAGTTGGGGTCATCCTTGTGGATTTCTGTACAATCCCCTTGTGTCAGATTTGTCTTTAAACCTATAGTGGCTCCCTCTACTGATGTGTCTCTTTTCTTGTTCTTCTCTATTCTTCTTCCCACTCAATCTTCTTGATTCATCATGTCCCCGAGCCTCTTCTCCCTTATTCTTTCTCCTAACTCCTTCCCCCTTCCCCTTACTTCCCATTTGTTCAGGAGCTCTTGTTCGTTTGAAAGTACTCTCTAGTTAGTAACATAGTTAATTATCTTTATGGATAAATTATTTTTATATAGGTAGTTCAACTGAAGTGAAATTCACTGTTGCCCAAATTTCCTAAATACAACATATTTTAAAGGAATTATTGTACTTTAAAGGTATTTATTGAAAACAGATTCTTCTCCGATACAATACTTCTCAATCAGAGTTTCCACTCCCTCCACTCCTCCTAGTTCTCCTACCTCCTCTGTCTATCAAACCCATTCCCACTCCAGTTACTTTTCAAAAAAGAGTAGGCTTCCAAAAGATAATAGCAGCCGGGCATTGGTGGCACATGCCTTTAATCCCAGCACTTGGGAGGCAGAGGCAGGTGGATCTCTGTGAGTTCGAGACCAGCCTGGTCTCCAGAGCAAGTGCTAGGATAGGCTCCAAAGCTACACAGAGAAACCCTGTCTCAAACAAACAAACAAACAAACAAAAGATACTATCCAAACAGGACAAGACAATACCCAATGGAACAAGGAAAAAGCCCTCATATTGATGCTGGAAAAGACAACCAAATAGGAGGAAAGAGTCTCAAGAGCAGGCAAAAGAGTCAGAGATACATTATTATGGAAGGAGACAGAAATAGTGTCCATGGAGTCCAAAAGAAGGTATTGAATTCCCTGTGGCTACAGTAATATCAGGTAGTGAGACACCTGATTTGTGTGGTAGAAACTGAACTTGCAAGGGCATCACACACTATTAAGCATTGAGCCATCTAACCAGCCTAGTAGAATGTATTTTAGGTTGTTATAGTGCTCTTCTTTTCATTTTAGCTTAGTTTTCATAATTTAGTTTCATTTGTAACACATTTTTATAACATACCAGTGACGTTTCTCATAGTTCCATGTTGTAGAGTAATATTGTTAAAATTACAATTCTACCTAAAGTAGTTTACAAATCCAACAAATTCTAAATCAAAAGTCTCACTTCAACCTTCACAGAAAAGAAACAAATATGTTAAAATTTAAAAAGAATCACAAAAGACTCCAGATAGTTTTGAAATGCTGACCAAAAAGGAAAATGCTGACATATTCTCAGTCCATATTTCATTATATTTTATAGAGCTATAATAATAAAAATAAGTAGAGTACTGTCACAAGAATACACAAGTAGACCATATCCTCCTAAGGACTGCCATCTGCCATCTAATAATTAACAAAGTATCCAGAAACATAAACCAGAGAAACAACAGCATATTCAACAAACTGTATTAGAAAACTGGGTGTCCACATGAAGAAGAATTGAAATTAGAACTGTTTTATTACTGTACAAAAATTATTCAAATGAATCAAAGACCTCATTGTGAAATCCAAAATAGTGAAATTACTATAAGAAACTTAGTCAGAGTCTTGCAAGATATGGGCATAGGAAGAAATTTTGAAAGAAGCATCTATTTGTCCAGAAATTGAACCCAAATTTATAAAATTTAAATAAAAATTATTATCATAAGACCTAAAACTTCTTCTAAGAAAACAGTTATCCAAATGAAGAGAAAACTCATAGAATGAGAGAAAATTTGGGACAAATATATACATGACAGAGTATTATTATCTGGATACATCAGGAACACCAAAACCGAAGTCCAGAAGTGAGCCAATTACAAATGGGGTGAGTCTCATTCAAAGAGATATAAAAGTGACTAAGAAATAATTTTTAAAAAGCTGCATCAGCTTTAGCAATTATGGAAATACAAGTTAAAACATATGTCCATTGCTAAACTGTAGACAGAGATAAAACAGGTTAAAGGGATTTTCATATGTTTTAGTTAAATCAGAAAAGAGCATAATATGTTTGTTTTAAGTAAAATGGCCTTTCTAGATGAAATGCCATGGTGAATCATTGTTTTCAAATTATTAGGTATTTGCTACATTAGATATTTTGTTAAAATCAAATGAATTATATATGATTTAACCACAATAAAACTATTTATTATAAAATTGGCATTCATATATCTGTAATTGACCGAAGAAACAGACCTCAATTTTAATTCAATTTCACCTAAACTTACAATCATATATGTAATTAAACACAATTTCTTCAAAGATAAACCATTAATATTTAATTACTGTATGTAATTTTATTTAAGACTATCTATTTTTACTTAATGTAAAAATATGTATGAGTCTTTTGTGTGTCTTTGTGAATGTGTATCACATGCATGCTAAGCATTTATGGAGATCAGAAGAAGGCATCTGAATGCTGGGGATTACAGTTACAGATGACTGTGAACTGTGCTGTTTGTGTTAAAATCCTAACCCCATCCACTGTTAAGAGTTCAAGTGTCCTTAGTCACTGAGTTATCATAGCTCCAGCCATTAAATTCACATTGCTTTTAACATACCATACATTTGAACTGATAGGTGGCATAGATAGTTCAGGATTTGTAGTGCTGATAATATTATTTATGAAATTTGCCAGGAAACGGAAGTAGAGAATGTGGTGGAAGCACCACAGTTGGTCATATGTTAAAAAATTATTCTGGGAATAGGTAATGCAAATAGCATACAATGTGTGCATCAATCAAATTTCAATTGAATACTATATGAACTGTATACCAAAGAAATACACAAAATGTAGTTTCAGCCACTAAAGCAGTGATGTGTTTCAAAAGTTGAAAATGAACTGAGCACAAATGTGTTGGAAATGATTTCATAATAGTAGAAATTACATTTTCATTTATTTCCGGTACAGTTAAATAAAATACAGATTGTATGCTGTTGTAATATATATGTATATATATTGTATATTTAACAACATATTTACAACATAAAATTGAATTGAATTGAATTGAATTGAAATATTCATTCTGACAAACCAAGTTGATGACAATAGTAAGAATTTATGTTCCCTTTTTAATGAGGAACTCATTGTACTCACATGAGTAAATTTAATCATGTTTTCATAGCAACAAAGCCTTAGGGGAAGAGGCTGCAAGGATATAAATCTCACATGGAATATGTTACAAAAAAATGTATCATCCATGCTCTGCCAACAAAAAATCACCTCACCACAGGTATACTCCTCATATTCCAAATCCAATAATACAAGATTAGAAATGACCTTTTCATAAAAGTCTAAATGATTTTTAAATTAATTATCACAGCCTACTTAGATCATATATTTAAATCTAGTAAAATATTATTTTATATTTACAACAGGAAGATTCTGATTGCACATATTTGTATCTATGAAACCGTATTTTAATTATTTTCCTTTAACAAATTATTAGAAACCTACTATTAATTTCAAACTGTGTATAGATACGTATGTGAGTTCAAAGGCTGTGTGCTGCTTGTCTGTATTTTTGCCTACCTTTTGTAAATCTTATTGAGATAAAGACTATGGAAATTTATATTTAAAATATTAGAATGAGAACTTCAATCTCACAATGAAATGAGGAACATAGACTAAATAGTGAGTCAAATTCTCTCTTAAAAGTGCATCACTACATTCTAATATTTATAGATTAACTAAGTCACACACACTTGGAAAATCATAAAATTCCATGCAACTGCACATACACATGAGGTCATTTATTGTAGTAGTCTTTATCTTCATGTTGTTTCCATATTTGTAACATTCAATACACAGTATCTGCAGATGTTACTATACATGTAGGACTTCATGTTGTTTACAATATTTTTACAACCTTTTCCTTTGAATGATTAGAAGATTTATCCTTTGGTTCCAATTGATGCTTAAAATATTCAATAAGCATGATCGCCAAATAATCACAGATGTTTAGAAACAAAAATAATCAGGAATTACTTGTTACCATATACTAATAAAAATAGCATTTTTTGTCAAATAGTAGAAGGTATTAACTGTTTCATTGTTTAGTAAAATTTGCTGATTTCCATAGCATCTTGATGTCTGGGGAATAATTTTTATTCACAATCTGGATATTAAGGCCAGTGGATTTAAACTACAATATCTCACCACTTAGCTTCACTAACTTTGGAGGTGATTATATATTATTTTTAAGGTTATAAGATGACAGTATGTTAAATATATAATTCCTCTTAAGGAAGGCAAATTCAGGGAAATTAATGTATAGAAGGTAATATTTGTGAAGAATACCTAGATTTCAGAGTAAATTGTTACATCAGATAGATTATTAAAATTAAATAATGCAATCTTATTTTAAGATTGAAGTATAATTATATATCTATATATGATAAAATAAAATAATACATGTATTATGGACATATTCTTTATTTTTAAAGTTCATCCAAAAAAAATGGATAAAGAAAATTGCTCCTCTCCTCGTGAGTTTGTTGTCTTGGGAATTACTACCAACCCTGACACAAAAGTGGCCCTCTTCACCACATTCCTACTTGATTATCTTATTAATCTACTGGCCAATCTTGGGATGATTGTTTTGATTAGAGTGGACTCTCAGCTCCACACACCCATGTACTTTTTTCTTAGCCACCTTTCCTTCTGTGACCTCTGTTATTCCACAGCAATTGGGCCCAAGATGTTGGTGGATCTTTTTGCTAAGAAGAAATCAATTTCCATGGTTGGCTGTGTTTTGCAGTTCTTTACTCTCTGTGATTTTGTTGATTCTGAGTGTCTACTGCTGGCAGTGATGGCCTATGACAGGTACCAGGCCATCAGCAACCCCTTGCTCTATACAGTAAAAATGTCAAATAGGGTGTGTTCTATGCTCATAGCTGGGGTTTACATTGTGGGAACAGCAGATGCTTTGATACATTCTACCCTTGTCTTTCGCTTGTGTTTCTGTGGATCCAATCAGATCAACCATTTCTTCTGTGATGTTCCTCCACTTCTATTAATATCTTGCTCAGATACAGAGGTCAATGAATTAGCAATATTCACAATTTTGGGGTTCATTGAGCTGAGTACCATCTCAGGACTCCTTGTCTCCTGTTGTTACATCATCTCATCAGTCTTGAAGATCCGCTCTGCTGAAGGGAGAGTCAAAGCTTTCTCCACCTGTGCCTCTCACCTGACTGCAGTTGCAATTTTTCAGGGAACTCTGCTCTTTATGTATTTCCGGCCAAGTTCTTCCTATTCCCTAGATCAAGACAAAATGACATCACTGTTTTACACACTGGTGATACCAATGCTGAACCCTCTGATTTACAGTCTGAGGAACAAGGATGTGAAAGAGGCTCTGGAAAAGTTGAAGAATAAAATGTGATTTTATGAGATTTTTAGATGTAAGTGTACATGATTTCTTTTAATTCATTCTGCATCACTGCATCACATAATAAGCTAATAAAATATATTAGTTATAAACTCTTCCCCTATCTATGCTTAGTTTTCTTTAAACATCATATGATATTCTCTCTTTGAAGTTTTACTAGCCGTACAGTTGTGCCCAAGTTTTATGTGCCTATAATTTCAATCTCTGACAAATTTATTATGATACATTTCATATTTATTCATTGCCTTTCTCAGATAAGGCTATTTTTGAAGCTAATGAAGTAGCTAAACCGAAGTTAAGTACACTATGTATATGGAAAATTACTGTAAATTCTCAAAATATACATGAACTTCATAGCCGTCTTGAACTTAACTCTTGTTGGTTCAGAAGAGATGCTCTAATCCACTTTTAGGATGTCATCTTTCTGGAAGGTAGTTACCCTGTCCCTGGTCAAAATAAAAAGAAGCTTATGTGGGAGAAGAAAATGTCTCTGTAGTGATCTCTTTTTTTATTTTTTTTAATATTTTGAAACAATCTTTTCTTATTTTACATACTAATCCCAGTTCCTACTCCCTCCTTTCCCCCAACTCACCTGCAATCCACTCCTCAGAGAGGGTAAGGCTTCCCATGGGGAGTCAACAAAGGCTGCACATCACTTTGAGGCAGGACCAAGGCACTCCCCACAATATCTGGGCTGCACAAGATATCCCTCCAAAGAGAATGCACTTCAAAAGAGCCAGCCCAAGCACTAGGGATAAATCATGCTCTCACTGCCAGTGACCCCACAGATTTCCCAAGTCACACTACAGTCACCCATATTCAAAGGGCCTAGTTGGGTCCTATGCAGGTTCCTCACGCTGTCAGTGCAGAGTCAGTGAGCTTCCAATAGCTCAGGTTAGCTGTTTCTGTGGGTATCCCCAAAATAGTCTTGCCCCCTTTGCTCATATTAGCACTCTTCCCTCTCTTCAACTGGACTCAGAGCTGAGCCCAGTGCTTAGCTGTGGATCTCTGCATCTGCTTCCATCTGTTGCTGGATGAAGTTTCTATGATGATAACACAGGTACTCATCAATCTGATTACAGGGAATGGCCAGTTCAGGCACCATCTCCACTATTGCTTAAAGTCTTAGCTGGTATCATCTATGTGCCTTCCTAGGAATTTCCCTAGTACCAGGTTTCTGGATACTCCCATAATAGCTCAATTAAGATATCTCTTTCCTTGCTTACAACTACTGGTCAGGTGTTGATAGACATAAGTTTGGAAGATCAACCATTTTTGATTAACACAAGTACTAAATCTTGGCAATTTATATCTAGGTGCTTGAAGTGTCTTCCATCATTTCATCCCTTGGTTTCTATTTTATTTTTTCTTTCTCAGCCCTAGTTATATAATTGTCTACAATTTCTTTCTCTGAACATTAATTAATTAGCACCTATTTTTAAATTGTTTTATTTGAGGAGAAAGTATAAACATGCATTTTCTAAAACATTGAAGCATCCTAGTAATGGAAACTTTAATATGTATCATATGTGTTGAACAATATGAGACAGCAGACAGGAACAAAACAAAACTCCATATAATATAAAATTTAGGAATGCTCATTAACCATTATTAAGAAAATCCTGCATAAGAGTGTGGCATATACTATGTATATAAATAGGCACTTCACAGTTTGAAGAAAGAACATAAAATTATATTGAATACAAACCTATATTCTCAAAATAATTAAGTTCCTAAAAGATAAGTGTCTTACCTGTGAATATGTTCTTGATAGACCTTTTGCATAAACTGTAGATTCATATTTCTCATGGCATAAGCCCTGAAAAAAATTGTTGAAAAACTGTGAATCTGAACCTAATTTTGAAATCCCACTGAAGACTATTCTAAGTCAATATTACAATTCTTAAGTTCTTTTCAGAGGGGGGCATTTAGTTTTCCAGGTTCCAGTATCAAATGGTCTTTCAAGACCAAGTGCTCCTCTGATTCATGATATCATATGGCCCAATATGAGATATCAGGAGAAATTCTTGAGAAGTATTAATTACAATAAAAGACTGTTAATACAATAACTTCTCATTGAACTCATTCTCTCATGGCCAGAGATGTGATGTTTTACTCAGATGTTTAAATAGTACTATACTATTGTGTGTGGGTTTCTTGTTTTCCTTGGGTCTTTTGTTTGTTAGTTGTTGCATCTTTATTGTTTTGCTTTCATTTTTTTCTAAAGAGAGAAAGAAAGGGCATAGAGTTTGGTGAGTGAGGAGCTAGGGAGGATCTGCTATGATGAGCAGTGGAGAAAATTTTGATTGGAATATATTATATGATTTTTCCTTAACAAAAATATGATGATAATATATTGATAGTGAGATACCAAGTCTTTGGGTAATGATAATAAATCCAGAGACCACAGAGATTGTATTATAGACATTAACATGTAGGACCTAATAGCTTCCACTCTGATGTCACTATGGAGAAGTGAATATCAGACTGTCTGTGATCAGGAATGCGTGTTATCAGTATTCATCTCAAATAACCATGATTCGGGACTGATGTACCCAGAGTTGTAAGAGTTATCAGCATATGACATTTTGCTATCACAAGTAAAAGATAAGAAAAAAACAATGTTGTAAACAAATTTTCAATTTTGATAAGGAGTGTGTAAAAATGGTAACACTATCTCTAATAAATTATGGGATGAAAATAAGTCAAAGATTAATTTGTATCTTTCTTTTTTGGGGGGGTTTAAGACAGGGTTTCTCTGTGGCTTTGGAGGCTGTCCTGGAACTAGCTTTTGCAGACCAGGCTGGTCACAAACTCACAGAGATCCACCTGCCTCTTAATTTGTATCTTTCTAGAGGGTTAATTTTTATTACACTTAGTGAGTTCAGATACATATCAATATTTTTTAGTATGTACAAAATGTGAACAAAATAAAAAGAAAGTTAAAATCCATTAATGTCTCAAAAGAGAATCAGGAGATTCATGACTTTGTTATGATGAGCATCTGAGGTGAAATTGAAAGCCTGAGCCTTGGATTTATTTAATGGAATAGACAGGTGGGAAAACTTACATTGTTCTTTTCTGGAGTCCATTTCACCTCTGATAGGTGAATCCAAGTCTTATGATTCCCTTAACTTCTTGAAACTTACCTGAACTTTTGGTTTATTAAGGATTAAAATTTTAGATACATTAGCATCAACCCATACTGAAATTCACATTGTTAAACAACAGGAATGTAATTGTGCCTTTGATTTCTAGACAAAAAAAATATAGCTTTGGGTTTAAAAGCACGAATATTTTCCTGTGTCCAGAGATTCAGATATATCAATCAGGCAGAGATATTCTTAACTCTATGAGAAGCACATTTAAGTCTATATTTAGAAGACAAAAAAAGAAATTTAAAATCTTGAGCTTGTAACAGTAAGTAGTCAGTGTTCTATCAGCTTATCAGAACTCCATTGACCAAAGTTAAAACACTGGGACTTTGAAATCTTAGTATATATTAGCATAGAGTTAGAAGTCTGAAATATTTTCCATGTTTTAAATGCCTTGACTCATTCAATAGACCTTTAGAACTTATTAGACTTTAAACATTTTTCTTTCCATCTTATCATTTACCAGTGATGTGAATAGTTTTTATTAAGATCAGTCATTCCAAGACATGTTATTTTTAATAAAGGAACAGTAAAAAAATAGTTATACCTGAAGTTGTTTATCCTTTAATATAAACCTGTTAGCAAGGCAACCCTATCTGTCATTTCTTAACAAGGGAAATAGTAGCTCAAAATGAACAAAGAAGGTGGCTGTAGCCTTTGGGGAAGGAGATGGTTGCCTGTTTCTGCTAATCTGATAAAGTTATGGTTAGCCTAGTTGTCAATGCCATCAGAGATCACAGAAGGATAAATTATATTAGGAAATATAATTCGAATGACTTATGAGACAGGAAGGCCCCATGTTGAAAGCGGTCCAGCCATTCCCAGTCACTGTGGAGAACAATCCTCCCCAGAACAATTTTAATATGTATTGTAAATCCAATATGTATTGTAAACAATCACACTGCTCTGGATGGTAGATCAGCTTTGGAGGATGAATCTAACATACATGGAAAAAACAAAAAACACATATTTTGGCAGAATTCTATAAATGATAAAGACTGAAATTAACAGTACAAATAAATAACATTGTGCTAATAGACTTGGTGGACACAGGGGCAGATGTTACTATTATAACTCAAGAATCTTGGTCTCCAAGATGGCCTCTGAAGGAGGTAAATGCTCAATTATTAGGAATTGGAACCCAATCTCGGGTAAAACAGAGCACAAAATGGGTTGAATGTATAGGGCCAGAAGGACAAAGAGGAAGGCTGAGACCATATTGGCTAATACAGCAATAAATCTCTGGTGCCATAATCTATTGCAGCAATGGAATACTCAGATTAATATTCTCCCAGTAACAAATATGAACCATAAACAAACTCATGGTTGTGGAAAAAATATTGTAAGGTATTATAGAAAACAAACACCAACTATCCAGGATCTACAAAAACAGAATACAAGTGTCAAACTAACATAGGAATCAAAAGCCTTGACCTTAGCGTGGTTAACTGATGAATGTGCCTGGGTGTGAGAAAGGCATATGAACTTTGAGAAACTAGAGGCTCTAGAAAAGCTGGTTAAGGAACAACTAAATGCTGGACATATCGAAGACTCCACCAGCCCTTGGAATTTTTCTGTATTTGTTATTTAAAAAGAAATCTGGAAAATGGATAATGCTTACAGACCTGAGAGCCATCAATAAAGTAATTCAGCTGATGGTCTCTCTACAGCATGGAATGCCCTTACCTTCTCTGATACCTAAAGAATGGACTATTATAGTTATTGATTTAAAAGATTGTTTCTTCACAATACCTTTACAAGTAAGGGACAAGGAAAAATTTGCCTTCACAGTGCCTAATTACAATAATTATTTTCAGCTAGTCAAGAGATGTTAATGGAAACTCTAGCTACTAGGAATGTTAAACAGCCCCACCCTGTGCCAATATTTCATGCAAAACCATTGGAAATAATTCATAAACAGTTTCTACAATCTATAACTTACAAATATATGGATGATATATTGTTAGATGATTCTAAGCCAGAGACATTAGAAAAAATGTTTGAGGAACTAAGGAAGTTTTACCTTGCTGGGGATTATAAATTGCCCCCCAATACAAAGAGAGGATTCTAACAATTATTTAGGATATAAAATAGGTTTACAGAAAATTATATCACAAGAAGTAAAGATTATAGGGATTGATATCAGACTCTTAATGATCTTTAAAAATTACTAGGAGAGATTTCCCAGCTACAGACTATT